ATGAAGATAATGATAATGATGAAAAAATTATAAATAAAAGAGCAAAGCTCAGGATGATTAATAACAATGGTTGGTCATTTTTTATTTTGAAACATTAGAAGTGCCTGAGTTTGGCCTCGCCGGTGACCTCGGTAATTTGTTGTTTCATTCGTGATCATTGCTCTTCCAACAAAGGGAGTGAATGAGAAGGGGCACATTATCCTAAATTAAGGATTTACCAGAGTTCTTGTTTATGGGAACGGCTCAGGAAAGAATCATATCTTTTATAATAATACTATTAAGTTGCACCTTTATCACGTTCGCGCATCTTGCTGCTTCTTTAGTCGGTTTATCCTGCTCATCTTCATCTCCATCTTCATCTTTATCTTCATCTTCATTTCCATCTTCATCTTCATCTTCATCTTCATCTTCAATTATTATTATTTATTTTCCTTTCATTCATTCTGTGTTATCATCATCATTATTAACCAACATTTAGTGTCACTTTTGATTCATTATTATTTTCATTGGTAATATAACATAATTAGGTTAATAAAATAATGGTCAATATCATTATCTTTTCACTTTCAGAGAAAATGTTAATTGAATTTATTTCGATATTCAATATTATATAACCGATCTATGGGTAACTATGGTAACTCGAATTGAAAATCAAATCATTATCATTAACTTTAATCGAGTCATCTGCAGGATTATATTAATTAAATTATTTAACTGCAACACTAAGTTACAAATTAACGATCCTAATTAACTTGAGGTAAATTGAATAAGTGCTGCCCTCTTGAGAAATTGTCAGTTGTTGAGTTTGTTTTTTTCATCTCTTACCTGTTGGTTTATATTCAATTTTTTTACCTCGATTGATACTTTGACCTCCTACTATTTCATTGACTGTGAGATAAATTAAAATGAAATACAAAAATAATACCTCAAGTGTCAAGTCAATGTAATCATTTGATCAATCAAAATTTTGGTAGGAGTTTGTGTGTACAGTGATGATGGTGTTTCAAATTGTGTCTGTGTGTGTGGTTCAAATTAATTGGTGAATTGATGTTCGTTTCAATTAAAAAAAAATAAACTAATTGATTTGCTTTTTTTTATAATAACAATCAGATGATTGATCAACAAACTTTTTCTCAGCAATGATACATGAATAAACTCAGTTGGAAACTTGGAAAACATCAAATTGACCTCAAGGGTTGTTTCTTGGTGATTATCAACAAGAAGACTGTACCAATAGCGATGGTTATGAGTGCATATCAGAATATATGTGTCACCAAAACGGGAAAAGTATTGAAAATGATCATTAATCATCGACCTAACGAGCATCTATTTGAAATGATGATGATGATGATGATCAATAAAAAGATACATTGAAAATGTCAACAAATAATCAAATCGTATTAATATTAATGGTATCGGGTTCAGGTTGACAGATTACCTTTTTCATTAGAATAATCTTGATACAAGACTGTATGATTTTTGGTTGGATTGAGATTAATCCTGTTGGATTAGCAATCAGATGATTAGACAAGAAAAACATTCAATTAATACAATTTGGTGCGATATTGCTAAATGGAGATGAAAATAACTCTCACTGACTGTTGAGTTTTACTGATAATAAAATATTGACCCAATTTTATCGCTGATTGTTTATCTTAATCTTAAGATGATTACGAAATCTTACCTTACACTCGATTGGATTGAACATTAGTGAGCATTATCATCACAATCCAATGTTTACAGAAGACAATGGTTCTCAATGGAATTGGTGGCTCACCCCCTTTCAGCAGAATCACCTAAAGCCAATACCAAGATCATCACCTCACTCATCATTATTATCATCACCATCACCATCAGCATCACTTGTATCAACAAAAAGATGATAAAGCAGAAACAGTTGACCAAACTGTCCCAAGCTGATTTTCTAGGGACAGCTACTGAATACACAATTGGAATGACTTGTTAACCATTGACCAGAATCTTTTACTCTTTGCCTTTGGATATAAAAGCCTCGAGTTGACATAAAATTGGTCCAAATGTTCAAAGTGATGAGATAACCTTGAAAAAAAAGCATGTTACCCGTGGATATTTTAAGAAATTTGACAAAATTAAGGTTAATTGTCATATAACTCACGTAAAAATTGTGGCCAACACTTAATAAGAAAATAATATTTTCATTAATAGTTACATTGTTTCTGTGGTTTGATGTACTTAAAATTTCATTCACTCTCTTGTATCTATGTACTATTAAGCTGAAAATAAACTGAGACTTAATTATTGTCTTGGTGAGAGAAATGAACTTTTGATGCGTTTAATCAGATTATCTCACATCAGTTATTGAATTTCAATTCATGTAATAATTCAAATCAAGTTATTGTTATCAGTATGATAACAATAATTCCTCGTAAATATTATGTAGATTATATTAATGTTATACAGTTTTATCACTCAGTATTCATCTCAGTCCATGAGAAAATATTTCTCCAAAATATGTTCACAGAATTGGTTCAAGGTCAATCTTCAACCTTGAATAATTTAAATCTAAGTCATATTCTGATCAGGTCAATACTCTGAATCAACAGGGTAACATGGAGTTGATGGTGACTGAGTGATGATGTTCAGTATCATCACTTTGGTCTGTAACCAAATTTTTTTTTGTTTCACAAGTGAAAACAATTACATTGAGTATTCAAAGCACAGAATCACATTTGAATATGATGACACTTTCACTTATCCTGTCAGAATTTAAATTTATTCAAGGTTAAACTTGATGTTTCCCGCGGCAAAATAAAAAGTTATCAATGATTACAATTAAGATACAATTATAATTACTATAAAATGTTTTCTAATGTTGTGGTTAATCTTGTTCCATTTTGTATGGTAACGTGTGTTTATGGTTTATATTATTATGATTAACATGATTAGTTCACTTTTGTGGTTACAAGAAAATAATATAACACAAATTTCATCTCTCTGATTATCATTAACATCATTTTCCTCATTTCCCCTCCATAATCGGTGAATGTATTTGTTAGCCCACAACGGATTAAGTTAATATTTTAATCCAAGCATACACCTTATATTATGAAATGATGAATGTATTAATAAGGGCGAAGCAACAACAATACTTGGACTGAGCCCACCAAAGGAACACAATGATTGTGATTCTTTTATTTTCTCTAACCAATTGTCGCCATGGTGAATAAGGTTATTTACGGTTGTATAGTTAACAACAATTCAAATCAGATCTGTGATTAGAAGAAGATGAAGAAGATGAAGGCAAAATTGACGATCAACCGCAACAAGAGATGTAACATCAACACGAACAATGACTCCAACTGCTGTTACATTTTTATTAACAATCAACTTTTCTAATTTTCTCCAGCAAATTTTCATCTTCTAAAACCAATTCGCAAATTATATTAATGCTATTAGATTGGTAACAATCATTCACCGGAACAGGAACCAAAATTTTGCGGTGAAATTTCATTTAAATAGTAATTATTGTTGTTAATTATATGTCACTTTTTCTTGTTTCTCGTTAAACTGATACTCCAAATTTTATATCCGTCTCGATACAATCAAGTCTCATTTCATCTGAAGCCAATTAACCAAATTAACAATCAAATTACATTCATTATTTGTTCATTTAAACATTTCTACCTGAGTTTTTAATCTCACAAAGATTAGATGGCAAATGCAAGTGATGGCGTAAAAAAGGATTAAAGGAGGAGTTTAAATTGGATTGACTGCCAATAGGAAGTTTGCTGGTTCATTCAGAGGAATTCATGTGATTGATGCGAGAGCGATGGTGAAACATGTCGAGTAAAGAATAAGATGAAACTGGAAGATAGAAAATGATGATGATGATGGGAAAGGAGATGGAAAAGAAAAAGGATGCACCAGAAGGAATGATGACTAAAAAGCAAAAGGAAAAGGAAAAGATGTAATAAGATTTCTTCAAATTCTGATCTTTACGAGAAATAAAAGTTATCACAAATGAAAAAAAGAGAAAAAAGGAAAAGACTTTGGAACAATTTTCAATGGGACCACGTTTCTTCTACTTGATTCATCATCATCTCTCTCTCTCTCTCTCTCTCTCTCTCTCTCTCTCTCTCTCTCCATTCTAGACTCTCTCTCTCTCTCTCTGTTTCTCTCTCCTTCAGTCTTATGACCTTCCTCTTTCCTTTTATTTCCATCTCGTTATTTATTCTGTGAGTGTTCATGAAAAGAAAAAAGAAAAAGAAGATGACGATGACGATGAGCACAGAATTTAAATGAGCTCAACATCCCTGCCTCTTTTTCCCAATGTAAACTCTATACTCTCTTATATCTCACGATTCAAGAATTTAAGTTATTATCTTAGCTCACTCACTTTCATCTTCTCTCTCATTCAACGCTTCGTTTCTTCTCTTTCTTTTTTTTTCATTGCGATTTTTTCATCTTTTTGTTTCCATAGAAAATCAATGCTACGAGATTTTCAAGTTACCAGAATTTTTCACAGAGAAAACTGAGTTTAACCTTTTTACCAGATCCAATGGACACTCCCTTTTGAACCATCACCACATCATCATTAACATAACTTGGAATGAGTTTTGATTAATCTGATTAATAAGCATTGATTGATAAAAGGAAAGATGAATAACTGAATGAAACATGATCTCTCTTGGTTGTCATGGTTACGATTGATCAGCATGAAACTAAGATACCTTTTTGCTGAGAATATCATTAAGGATGGAAGACAAAGAGACATTAACTTTCTCTTAAAATGTTGGTGACAATTTCTTGGATCGAAACTTCTCCTCTCTCTCTATCTTTAAAAAGGGAGAAATGAGAGAGATATCAAAATGATGATGAAGATAAAATTCGGGAGCAAGAGGGATGTGATAGTAATAATAAAGACTTGATCCTTTATTCATGATGATCCTTGTTTCACCCACTCTATCACTCATTTCAATTGCTAATGTCCTGAGTTGAGCTTTAGGAGCAATGGTTTTGCATACATAACGGCCTAAGAGAAAGAGAAAGAGAGAGAGATGAGAGAGTCTCAGTCGATTCTAACCAAGAGAAATGTTTCTTCTCTTTCTTTTTTATCTTTCTTATTCTCACTCCGATTTCTCTCTCTCCCTCTTTCACATACACAGAGTATTTTTCCTTCCAATCATCAACCAGACTTGAGATGGTAACTGTAAGAGTTTGCTTGTTTCTCCTCAGTATTTCGCGTTTCATCAACAATTTTCACGATCACTTTTACTTTGAACTTTCAACACCTTCGATTTTTAAATTGTCTCCGAAATTCTATTGTTTTATTTAAGTCGATGAATAATTTACGCCGACACAACGATCTTCATAGTTGAATATCAGCGACCGTTGCCAAGGCGACCACCAGCTACAAACCGGCTCTACAAAACGTAAATCGAAAACTTTGTGCTAATTTCGTATTTCGACTCTTTTGTTTTGGACTTTTCGTTTTCACAATAATCATAAAGGTAAAAGTTGACATTTGATTCGTTCATATCTCGTTTTCTTTATCATCTGATTCCTTTTCATTATCATCACCAGTTGAATTCAACGATCATTTGTGACGAGCCAATTGAAAACAATGAGCATAAGCTGATTGATATCATTTACCTTTCAAGGTGAGATAACATTTTATTTATTACTCATCATATAAGTTGACAATTTTTCACATTAATTGTGTGTCTTGTTTATCTGAAACTAAATCTAAATGATGTTTATTCAACATGAATGTGCTCACTGTTTTATCTCAAACGGATTATTGTGGTTTATTTCTGATCAAAAGATGCGGTTGATTGTACTTTTTCAGGGAAACAAACTATTGACTTGATGGATTGCCCAAGGCATGACACTTCTTATAGGTCTTTTTGTTATTGTCAAATATCATTGAGAAGCTTTTACTAAACTCCCAATCTGAGATTGAGTCTAATCAACAACAACAACAAAATAAAAGTAACAAAGTTTCACGATTTATTGGCTTAACGGATTGGGAAGTGTTGAAAAAACAAATACTGTCAACAATAAACAGCTGAATGGTATTTAAATGGTTATTATTTGGGCATTGATTTGGATTGGTGATCAATGAAATATTGATGATTTAAGTTAATCAACTAAAAGAAAGTTTAATTAAACACAACACTTTATTTTAATAAGATGGATGGATGAGAATTAAGTATCACTCAATCAACTGAGAACTTGTTGCAATACTTTAAATGGGAATAATCTCATGAGGTTTGCTTGGTTTCTATTGAAGACACAGTTACTTAGTAGACCGACTCAAAAGTTTCGATGATCAATTTATTAAACACCATCGAGATGCTGGAATCATAAAATGTTTTCAACATTGAACAATATTAACAATTGGTGAAGCAGTAAAAAAGTAATAGTTTGAGATGGAAAAGGATCAATCAATTTGATTACTTTAAATAAGTAACTGGATAAACATGTTTATGTGTCTTTTATCTCGATAAAGATTATTGGCTTTTTATCATTTTTACTTCTTTTTACAATCAAGAGAAAAGGTAGTCCAATTGAGAAATGGTACTGGCAGTATGCAAGAATACTCAATGTACTAGGAGAAGGAGGTTCGAGGATTCGATGAAAGAGGCTTGAGGAGGTTGAAGGATGAACACGATGAAAAAAGAAGCAGGAAGAGGGAAAACAAGAGAGAGAGAGAGAGAAGATGAGGATGAGGATGAAGAGGAGGAGGAGGAGTAGATTCAGAGGCTGAGATGAGGAAGTGAAAGGGTTTGGGTTATTATGGTTCATTCTCAGTCAACAGATTGTCTCTTATTCTAATATCAATCCTTTCGGGCTTTAATATAATCACCATCACCTCACCAATTGATTGTAATCAGCATTATATAACTTTTACTTTGACTCACCAAAGAAGAGATGATGAAGATAAGGTTTAAATTGATGCAAAGAGTTGATGAAGATGAGGATGAAGATGAAGATGAAGATGATGGTGATGGTGATGTGATGAAGCAGTTAACAGGAAGGTTCGAATGTTGTTCATTTATTTCTCTTCTTCTTTTTCTCCTCCTTCTTTTCATCAATATCATCACAACTTCTTTACTCTCTTTCTCTCTTTGTTAACATGGTCACGCGTCTCCATCTTTCATCTCTTTCTTTTTCATCATCAAACTAAATTTATCGAAAATGAGGTCACAATATAAAAGTGTGACTTTGCATAGATCAACATTATCTTTTGTACTTTTGTTGACAGTTTAACTCGTTTAGTTGTGCAAATTGATTTCAATTATTTATTGATGTTGATCATCATCGACAATTGTTGTTACAATTACACGCAGCCTAATTACAGTTTTCATTGCTCTTTAATCAATCAATGACATTCAATCGTAATCCTTTATCACTAAATTATCACATTTCACATGTGATTTAATTAATTAAGTCTTTTACGAAATCATAACAAGTTAATCGGAACCATTTTCAATGAGAATTCAAATCGAGTGAATTTTGAATATGATTTAGTATTATCACCAGAACTCATGGATTTATATTGGTGTTCAGCTCATTAAATTTTGGAAATTGAAATTTATTGATTGATTGGTGAAGAAATGAGATGTAAAGATAATGTTATTATCTTGCAAATATTGATACAGTTTTTCTGAACAATGATAAATCATAATGGTTGGTCGATGGATGAAAGAGTGAAATTGAACTAAGAATCGGCAACAATTACAATTAATCACTTTACTCCAGGGAGATTATTTTGCTGAAAATGAGAAGAAATCATCATCTTTATTATTGGAAATCAATTGCTTTCCAATATTCTCTAAACGGAAAAGCTGTTTAGCCCACTGATGAGGCCACTTCACTTGACCAATATTATTATGAGCTTGTAATCAATAAGTGGTCAGTGGTGAAGGTATTTTGTCAAATATTTGGTCAGCTCATGAGAGTAAAACAAAATCCATTACAAGTGTTTGGTTTATAAACATAATTCAAAGCTCATTGATCATTTGATATTATTAACCAGTGGTCAGTATGATTGGTCATTATCTCATCTCAATCTTCAACATAATAAAAAGTCAATTATTGTATATACAAAATGAGCGAGAATTGATAAACTTTTCTGCCCATTGAAAGACTGCTAATACCAAAAGCAATTAAAGTAATCAGTTAAAGACAATTTCGCTGTTAATTAAAGTTAATTAAAGTGTCATAAGACTAAGCTGCTGAAAATGAAAAATTATTTTGTCCATTTTTACCCAAAGTCGCTGTTGTCCAACTGCTACTCAATTTCCAGGTACTAAGATTGTGAGCAGATGAATCAAACTGTAACATTGGTTGGCGTTCATATTTTCGTATACTAGTCGCTAATTATCAATAGACTATCGCTCGCAATCAAGTGAGACAAAATCTCACCTGAAACCGTTAACTTACAAAATTTAGAGTAAACAATTAACTAAACTTCATCAATTACTCGTGAAGGAAACAATTTCTCATCTATTGATTTATTAAACCTCTTATGTACACCATTCGAGTTGTAATGAGATTAATTCTGAATACTAGAGCTGATCGATTGAATTGAAAAAATCATCATAACGATTGTCACAAGAGAATCATAATCCACCATTTTTTACATTTTACTTTATTATGACTTTTATTTTCGCCCCTGAACTTCAATTATTATACTCACAAGGCAAGAAACTAAACCGCATTAAAATATTACAACAACAAGGGCGATTTATTTTTTATCAATTGGTCTCAATCAAAATTGCCTTAAGCTGTTGAGATTAAAAGGTTTCCCTTTAAAATTTGGTGGTTAACCATATTGAATTTATCATTATTAGCATCAATTTATGTTCATTTCAGATCCAATTACAGCAACACTGTAAGGGAATCGAGGGAAGGCCTCATCGAATTAAAGTTTCAGGATTAATTTTATTCTGATAAATTATTAATACAAGTAAATAATAGATGATTTTGATTCTCATTTATCTTCATTTTCAAATTCAATCAATTATCTCATCATCTAAATGCCATTGGTTGAAACAATTGCTTGTGAAAATCATTAGCAAATGAAATGAGATAATAATCAGGATGATTCACTAATTATTAGATTTACATGATATCCAAAAGATAAACTCACTGAATTTTCATATAATCCAATCGTTTCACCTTAAGATGGTATAAAAAAAAACTGTAGACTTGTGATTTCATGATACGATTGAAGACAATGCGAATCAAATTGATTGTAATCTAGTTATAGTTGAGAGAAATTGATGCATTAAGGCGTATGAGAGATGAGAAGATGAGGAGAAAGCAAGAAGAGAAGGAGGAGAAAAGGAGGAGGACATTATAATTAGCCGATTGAATGAGTCTCTTTCGACTATAATCATCATCATCATCTTCTAGAACCACAAATTATTTTCTCTTCATAGGGTCAACATTGTATTCGCATCTTTATCATCTACATGATCATAACTATCAACAATTATTAGCATACAGATAAACCCTATAAAATGATGATGATGATCATCTTCACTTGACCATAACACAAAAAGATGAGACTGATGAAGATAAAATGATTAAGATAATGATCATAATGATCAACTCAAGTAATGATTGTGGTTATAGACACCAAACAAGATCAAGTTAGTTGCTATATCGATTCAATAACATTCATTGTATTTTCCGATTAATCCTAATCATGTCAATCTTTCTGATGATTGAAGCCATTTTCATGTTATTGGTAATCATGATTCAAACAAAATATGAAACATTGAGTTTCATTACAGCGATAAAATGATTGACAGGCTCACATTTTGATTACGGTTTTGTTTTCTGGCTTTTGGCTAATCAAAATTCGCTTTGACAGAAGAAAAAAAAAGAGAAAGAAACTCAAATAATATTATCATTAGATGGAAATCGTGAATACATGGAACAAGAATGACACCATGTTCATTTTAAGTGATTCCCTTTCTTAATTCAGCTTTAAAATGAATCACAATGTAATCGAAAATACCTTTTGTTTTCATCCGCATCATTTTCATTTGTTTGTCAATCCGAATTCTGAATCTATATATTTCCAAGATGAAAGTGACTTTTGATTGGTTTTCAATGAATTTGACTGATGCTTTTAAACTTGACTTGTTGTCATTGTTGATGTTTTGTTGCAAGTGATGGAGATGATGATGATTTGCGTGAGTCTCTCACTTGATATTGAAACATTTTCAGTCTTATCTCTTTTTCTTCATTCATTCAACTTGAGTGTCTATTTCGTCTTCCTCTTCATCATCATCATCATCATCATTATCATCATACGATCAACTTCCGAAGTTTTTGTCATATTTTTTTCAATCCATTGGAAACACCGAGATACTCAATCTATTGTAAAGTGACTCTTGACGTTCACTCGACAACATATTCAGCCAATTTCTCATCATCTTCTTTTCGAATATAATAATTTCAATCAATAAGAGAAAACGATATAATCATCATTTCCTTTTTGATGTTTATCATTATTTTCATATTTATTACAATGAAATCACGTCTATACAATAACATTTCGTCCTTTTCTCCTTTATTTATACTGGAATAAGTTCATGGGGGCAAATTGTACTCGAAAATGGTATTGCAATGGAAACATTGA